ATTAGGCATGTAGCATTTATCTCATATATATATATATATATATATATATATATATATATATTACTGTTAAGCTGTGTTGTGGAATGTGGAATGGGATAGACCAAATATTTGGCATTAGATGGAAAAACTAAGTAAGTAACTATTCTTATTGATTGACAACAGATCCTAATCAACTTACTTGGAACTTCATTGTTCAACAAAAGCTGAAAATGTTGCTCTGGCAGCTTTTGCAGTGATCAGTGAGAAGACACTTGATGTGGGGTGTCACTGTTTCTAAAATAAGCACTCTTCCACAAAACCAGATTAACACAGGCTTACAAGTTGCTTGTTTGATAGTGTGAAACTTGATATGCTACGTGATGTGGTTTGCTCTGCTTAACACACTCACTTTAAACTTGACCACAGCTTTCTTCTACATCCGTCATCTGTCAATAAAAGGGCTTATTTGCCTAGTTAGATCTCTTTAATTACCCGTAAGGTTCTCCCATTTTACCACCTACTGTGTCAATTCACCAACTCCACCCAAAAATGCTGAATTTCGTATATTTTTAGATTTTATATTATTAAGCAAAGCATATAATGACTTTCTTAAATACAAATGCTTTTTTGTGTTGTTGGAATAAATGACCATAGAAAAGTGTGCTTCATCCATGATTAATCATGAACTTTCATACTAATTAAGTTTGAACTATTCAGTTAAGACCTCTCCATTTATCAAATTGGCAACAACAGAGTTTGTCAATAAATAACAATAAATGCAAACATTAATAAGCAGCAAAGTTATTTGAGATTGAGTGAAGTCAAAATCACTTTAACGTTTAAAAATGTAATGTAGGATAAATAATTTCATCCCAGCAGGGGGTGATTTAAATGGAAAATATCAAATTAGTGTTTGAATGAATTTTTAATTTTCTTCCCTTTGGGCTGTGTGGGTAAACAAACATTCACCACTGTCAACACTTTCAAGGAACCTTGAGGTTTAATGTCTGAAAGCCTGATGTGGGTTTTAGTCCATTTCACGCCGGGCACATTAAGAGCAGTAAAGGTAGTGCAGAGCTGCATATCATTTTCATCTTCTAGGTAAAAGCTCTCACTATTTCAAACTATTTGACAGATAAAATTCATGAGGTTTTTACTTGATGAGAGCTGTCCTGGGTGTGTCTTGCTGCTTTTGCTGATCCCCGCTGGATGATGGAGGAGACGGGATGGAGGAAGTTGGAGGAAGGGTAGCGGAACGGAGGGTTGAGGGGAGGATAGAGGAGGCGGGAGGGGTCTGGCTCAGTGTGTTCTTGCTGTTTCGTAGAAGACGGAGGGACTTGACTCGGACAGGCTGGACGAGGCTGTGATTGCTACAAAGATGGGCCACCTTGCCAACAGGTCCTGTACCGGACCTCTTGAAGGTTTGCTCTGATCTGAAAACAGAACCGCAGATTTAGAGAAGGTCTGAATTACTTTCATAATGGTTGTTTGTGATTTAATATGTACACTGGCAGTCAACACATTTTTAATATACATTAATAAAATCCATCTATATGTATATTCACATTATCTATATATCATATGATAAGGGACACCCTAATAATATGAGTCATTTATACAATACTACAGTCTCTAAACAGCAAATACGTATTTTGTAGAAATGTAAAGAGATATCGCGATACACGTGAAGATTCAAATCAGTGAGATGAAAAATTAATTGTGATAACAAAGGTGCAAAGACATTACAGTAGTTTCACTTTACAAAAGGAAATGTGCATTGTTTTGCCCAGTTTATACACTACCTCAGACATAAAAAAGGATTCAATAATTTGATGATAATAATAATAATAAATACATTTTTTGTCTGAGTAAGGCAATTTTGTTCTTCTTTCTTCTTTATTTAACTTTCACTTTCCTATTATCATTGATTACCACCGTAGATTTGTTCAGGCAAAAAAATATTCCTAATCCCTCATTGCTACTACTCTTAAACGCTTCTGACCAAGAACAATGAAAACACAAAACAAAAGCAACAACAGGGGATAAATGTGTTTGTCTCCATCATCACCTCCCTCAACTCTCAGATGGGATTACAACTTCTAATATGCCCTTCATCCTCAGGTGCAGGCCTACCAATATACCACAGGAAACACCTGCATAGTGGCTGCCTCATTACCGAGGAGGGGGTGGGTGGGATGGGGCCCAGTGAAACACACTTGTGAAGGGAGTATTGCTGATTCTGAATATGAAGCAGGAAATGGTGAAGAACATGCAACGACACTAAATGTATTTTGAATATATGAAGATGAAGTACTGTATTGCGTCTACAAGGCTGCTTTCTTAAAGCTGACTACAACAACCAATTTTAGTTTGCCAGACTTCCGACTATATATAAACGCAGCTGCATGTAAATTAATGCACAGACTTTAGATTGTTTTTTTAAACTCTCTTACTGTTTCAGCTATGAAAGCTGGGAGAAAGTCCTCAGTCTCCATTGAGCATCCCACAAATTAAAAATCTGGCAGAAAGTCTTTTAACAAACATGGAAACCAAAAGGAATCATTTAAGGTTAAAATGAAAATATCAAGAGTTGCATGCTAATGTAGACAACTACATTTCATTACAACACACACTCAAAATAAATAAAAGTTGGAGATAGTTTCATGTTCTGTCACATGACAAACATGTATGTAATGGCTTAAAGTTTGTAACCTAATATCTGGGGGTTAATCATGAAAGAGTAACGCACTTCTTCATGCTGAAGTGATGCTGATCCTGGGACTTCAAAGAACTATGCCATAAAGAACATCCCAAGACAGATTTTGGGTCCTGACACAAAGACACAAGCTATTAACTGTCAAACTATCAAAGTGTATAAGATGCATATAAACCTGCTGAGGCAGGCAGAAGAGCAGGGGGAATTCTGAGAGAGGCAAATGCCACAAAGGAACGCAGAGCATTCCTTCTATTGTTTGAAGGTTCTCCTGTAGCGGACTTCATGTTTTGTCTACTGGTTTCTTAACAAATTCAACATGTCTGACACAATTTCTTACAGGATTCCTCAGAGACAAAGACCTAGACATAGCCAAGATGCTTGGACAATACTGTACAGCAAGAGATATGTCACATGGTCATGGTATAATGTCAAGTGACCGTGATATTCAAGCATAGTGACCCTTAAGGCTAAGTAAGGGCACCAACCCCTGAACTATGACCTCTCCAAATCAGTACCCACTCAGCAAGGTCTGATATGATCTGAGTTTTCTGTGAGGTTTCAAGTGTCAGCCATCTTAGCTCTCCTCCAACTTATCAACACTGGGCAATGCAGATATAAAAAGGAAACGCTCCTTTATTTCCAAGCAAGTAGCATCTACAGTTAAAAAAAATAAATAATTTAAAATAATAATTTAAGTATAACCTAGCTGCCCTGTCAGGCAGAGCTCAAGGTAATCCTTTCTGTGTTCCAGAAAAGCCTCATTTAAATTAGTAATGTAAGACAATTAAATGTTTAACCGCCCAGGCAGGGTTCTCTCAACATTACAGTAACACAGCAAGACTTTTATGACCATGGGAACTATTCTGTATACCTGTGGTTGGATTATTTATGTCTGTATGCATCATATGTATAAAATGACTCCGGTGACGAACACGGATCCCCCTGTTTGTTTGCCCTTGGGAGAATGTAGCAGTGCTCAGTGTCTCAGTGATTAAAACCCTGTTCATACTAGAAACAATATTTTAGAAAAACCCAGGCATTTTTCATGACTGTGCACTCACAATAAAACTTAGTAGAAAGGAAAAGGACAAACAAAAGCTGGATCAGGCTTAAATTATGCAAACTTCTGCTGTGAGTGTGGTCTGCAGGGGATTTTCCTCAGTAGCCCAGGTTCTACACTAGCACAGAACGGACGAACCAAACACTGGCTCTAGATAGGGCCTTTCATGTTTTTAACGACTTTGGAGGACAATGTAGTTTCAGCTACACGACTGTCCTGTATTCAAATGGTTGCAATCTTTACTAAACTTTAATATACCACCATACCATTGCATATCTGAAACAACTGCTGTAACTCACTTGTTTCTGGTTCAATAAAACATTTGAGAAATATCTTTCTCTTTGTATTTTATGTCAATTTATAGTGTTCATACAACAAAAACAATATTTTGTTTTGAAAAAGAAAATTTTTTAAAGTTGTTCCTATATCTTTTGTTGTTATTAAAGTTGGTGTTTTGGTTGGTATTGGTGCACAATAAAAATAGTTTACATTCTGATTCCTTTATATATTGTATAATTTAGTGGCGCCAAAAAGCCCCTACAGTAATCCAAGCCTTCAGTATATACATGATGACAGTAGAATAAGCTACTATAAACCTAAAGGCCCAGGTCTTTCCAAAAAAAAAATAATACCTGTGACATACTGTGCAAATCGCCAGGGTCTTGGAAAAAGAGAACCATGATTTACAAAATTTCGCCAGCACTACTTCAACAGAAAAAAAATCAATCAGTGATCACGGTGTGAAGGAAAAAGAAACGCTCTTCTTGCAAATATTGTGTGATCATTGCAGCTTTTTCCATAATGGTCCCATCAAGTGAGCATAAAGCCGTAAGTAGCATTTCCATAAAAGACATGTATGTCTGAAGATGACCGTGTAATGGATAGATAAAGCTAGCAATGTTCAAAATGTTATCTAAAATGTGTTCCAGTTCAATCAACTTGTCTTGATGACTACCATATTTGCTTTTATGCTTGTTAAGATGACGTGTGTTTTCAACACCTGGCAGAGAGCATTGTCCAGTTTCATCCCCTACCACTAATTTGCCACCCAATTACAATAATCTTTTTGGTGACCCTTGATGACCTCTGGTGACCCACAGCCTGGTTAAAACAACCTAAACCACTAAACACAAAGACTGTGAGGAATGACAAGTATGCTTGAAACACGAGCACATACACGTGCATGCATATGCATGGAAGCAAAAAGGTCTTGCGCACGTGTGCACACACACACACACCACTAACACATGGTTGACAGCCTTTTGTTTTGAGCAGTGTGTCTGTCAGAGAAAAATCAACATTACAATGAGAGGATTAGAAGACTATTGTGAAATTCTAAGTGCTACTGAAGGACCAGCTGGTTTTATTATAAAGAAACAAAACCTGAAGACATGATGGAATAGTAGAACTTTCAATTGGTAAATAACTGAATGAGTCCCACAAAAGATGCAGGTGTCACACAGAGTACAGTATGTAACCGTCTGCACTTAGACATGCACACATAGGTACATGTGAATGACAACCAGTTTGTGAGGAACAGGACATCAAAATAGCATGTTAAGACAAGCACTTTTGGACATGCATATTCAAATATGTGTGTGACATGATAAAAATGTGTTTCACCCACGTGAAAGCTCATTTGCTCGCACACACATTTTAAGTATGTATGGGAAAATCTCTAATACGCTAAGAGCATTGTCCCTGAGAGATGAAAGAAAAGTTAATTTAATAAGCCCAATAAAGTGAAGAGGAACGTAAGCTTGTGCATAGCTAGCTATAAAAATGTCTCTAGCTCTGACACAGGGACTGATGATCAGTAGCCTGCTGATTGACAAAACCCTCAGGACAATATAATAATCTTGCAGATTAATCAACATATCTGTGCTGCTGCTTTGAGATTGCTGCAGGGATTAAATAAACTAAAGGAAAAGTATCTCATACTATGAAGCAGCTGTGGATAACAGATACTGTAAAGAATTAGACTGGTACAGACTGGTTTATCGGTGTTCCCGTTTTAACCACATTGAACTGTATTTTTTTATGTTGATTTAAACGCATCCACCTGCTGGGGACGTTTGAGCATTACTCTGCTGTTGCTGTGCATTTGCTCTGAGTATCCAAGTTCTTAGTGCAAAGTCTAAAACAGTTTCCATCAAAATACCAACAACTCACTCCTCTCCTACATCTCTCCTCCCACCTGTGCACCGTGTACTCTGCGCTTTGCACCAAAATCCACACAGACAGGGTCACACTTCAAGGTCAGAAAAACATCAAACTGTCCGTGTGCTGCTTGTACTAGTCGTTGCACTGCCGTGAAAATAGGGCCGTTACAGATGAATCTGAGCAGTGGTATAAAAAGTAAGGGCGTATAAAATGTAGATAAAAAGTTGTAAATCGAATGAATGACAATATTAGCTTCATTATAAGCTCATATAGCATTAAATTGTACAGGTGTTACTGTGATTGTGCCCACACACTGTATGCAATATAAAAAGATTGAGGAAAAAAAGAGTCTACTAGCAGGAACATGTCAGAATTTGCATTAAGGAGGTCCACAGATGGCCATTCATGTTTCCTAATACGCAGTCAAACGCAAAAAACAAACACTTCAGGAAAGACTTGCATGAGTGCAGGCATGTCATGTTTGGTTTGCAATGTTTAACATTTGTCCTCACCTGTCAGTTTTAATGTAACCAGCGGTATCTGTCACAGTGACAGGGGCCACGGTGACATCACCACTGCTCCCCTGCACTACCGGCTGTTGTGCCCGGCCTCTCTGCTGGCTCCGCCTCCTGGATCTGATCTGAAAGAGGAACCGAGGGGAAGGTGAGGGAGCTGGAATACGAGTGAAGCAACAGCATGGTATATATCTATCTGAACATGAACCAGATGATTGGGTGCTGGTGAACGGATATGTCCCGTCAGTTTCCATCCTCCTCAGTCTGTGTTGTTAACCAGCATCAAGAAGGTACAGCTGAAAGGATGTGTTTTAATCCATTTATGGACCCAGTGTGTGTGTTTGCACTTGAAGCTACAACTAACAGGCTTACTTTCAACCCCACTTACTTGCTGTGAAAATAATGTATCCTACTGTATTTCTTTATTTGTTTCTTCCTTTAATTTTTATGTGGCTTTTCCAGTCCTGGCCTCTAGATTTTATTGTAATTTTGTTTTTTGAACAGTTAAGCTATTTAGATACCATAAACATGAAAAGAGTCTACAGGTAAGGTAGTGGCTCTCTGAGGCTGTACTTCGGTGCAGCAATGCTTTGCGCTAAACACTACCTTTAGTAGTACCACTACCTGACATTTACCATGCTCACCATCTTAGTTTGACGTGTCAGCCGGCTAATATTTGCCAATTAGCACTAAACACAAAGTCACTTGAGGTTAATGATTAATGTAATCTGTTCTGCAGGTATTTGGTCAAATGATAGTTTTAAAGGAAAATTCAGGGGAACACTTAAGTTAGTAGGCTTCATCCTCAAGGGATAATGAATGTCTGTGCAAAATGTCATGGCAATCCACCCTATAGTTATTGCGTGTTGGACAGACCAAATGGCAGACAGACCAACATTGTCATCCCTAAGGCAAGGTTGCTAGCGTGGCTAGGTTAGGTTTTGGGAAAAGAAATTGAAAAGACAACTCAGAATAGGATGATGAGAGGAACAATGAGTTAAAACAGCATGATAAAGGGGATGAGGGTGAAAAAGGAGGATATATTTGGACCACGATAGCTGTGTTTCCATCAACGTACGTTTTTGAGGTTCGACAGGGGCTTGGCTCGGGGGCTTGTTGCACCCTCTTCTTCTTGTGTTTCCAACTGGAGAATTAGTGCCACCTACTGCTTATCTTGATGAAGCAACTCTTAATAATCGCATAACGGTAGTGGATGGAAACAAGCATTCATTCACGTTTTCTTTTGCCTATCCATTAACTCTGGTTACATTTTGTAATACATTTTGATGAAAACAGGGCTACTGTGGACCATCTTTACCCAAACCCCAAGGGCTGTCAAACAGCTAGCTCGAGTCACTGTGACAAGATGTATTCCTATCCCAAGAAAAAATCCCCTGGGCAATGTTCCAATCACATCTTCCAATCATTTTAATCTAACAGTCCCTGGAGCTTAAATTTGACATAACAGGTGGCAAGTGGGAGAAACTATTTTCTCTATTTTTAATACATACTAAATTATTCTGAGTCACAAGAGAAACATTTCTGAAGAGTAGCATTCCTCAAATGATCAAAGGAAGTAAACTTAGAGAAAAACTCACTACTATCAATTTCTAAAATCTAATAACCAAAAGTGTGTTTTGCTGAATTTAATGTAATCCTGAGTGAGCAGATTAAGCAAATAAGCCAATCAACTCCCACAAGAGTTATCTATAGTAAAATAATAGGTCAAATCCTACTGCTTTTTTTCTCTCTCATGTCATTTACACTTCCACTACTTTATAGTGGCTTCCTTTGTTGACTAATTGCAACCCCTGTTGCTTGCTGTAATTGTACATCTTTCTTCCTGCTCACATTGTGTTTTTCTTTACTTACTTTATTTAAACTGCCTGTCTCTCCATCATCTGTTCTTTTTGCTCATAGTTCGTTATAGTAACTCATGAAATAAATGTTACAGCTTTTGAATTTGAATTTAAATGAGTGACCTGCTTAAAGCTTTGATCCTGCCCTTGATGTTACGGGGGACGATTGGGCACAGGGAGCTTATAGTGATGGGACAATTTCTTTTTTAAGCAGAGATTGTGGCAATGGTGCGCTGTGGCTCAACCCCTGTGCACATAGTTTGCTAACATTTCACCCTGTATAACTGACCTCTACCATCTGAAGTAGGTGCTATTGTGCTGGCAGCAAGTACAAAAAAACACTTCAAATTAAACGTTTAGAAAAACCTTGTTACAAATATTATGAAAACTCAACACAGTAAGAATAGAGATAAGCCCTCTTGTGTTTTGTATCAGATGCCAACTTAGTGAGCCTTGCTGCCCAGTCTGGTTTTAGCAGAAGGATTTGGCATCTAAATTAAGCTGTTGAAACTGGTTGTCAGACACTCGGCCCTTTGTTCGAGGCTTTTAGACTGCTGGCTCACAGTGGACCCTGATTTCTTTAATGGCTAAAGAAAACTTCATATTGTTTAGGGGAGAAAGTTTGAGAGAGTCTCCAGATGGCAGGCAATAGAGACCAATGTGAGACCAAGTGCAGTTGAGGTAAAAGGCCAAACCATACAGAACATATGGTAAGAATACCTTACTGCGTTACATACTGTGAAACAGCATGAAAGCTACACCTTCCTCACACATCAAGTATGAATCAACATTAAGAGATTTATTGTACTGGCACAATCAAAACAACCGGCACAAAGTGATAAGTCTTGTGCACAAGGACAAGGAGGCTGTTACCAAGCACACCATATATTTTTGTTCTTATAGGACAGTGTATGGGCACAGACGTTGGGTTAAGTGGAATATAATTTGAAGGCTATGCTGATTAATCATTATCCTCTCAGCCAGGCCTCTGACAGCTTTGCTTATCACAGTGGTGCATGACAAAAATGACTCACCAAACAAAAAAGTGAGAGCAAAGGCATGTGGTAGGGAAGTAGTATTGTGTAGTTGCTTAAAGGAACAGTTCAACATTATGTGGAAATACAATTATTCTCTTTCTTGTAGTGAGTTCAGTGAGAAAATTGATACCACTCTCATACATGTCAGGTAAACCATAAGCTAACCATCAACAGCTGTTTAGCTTAGCATTGAAAAGGGGGAAACAAGAAGCTCTTTCCAAAAATAACTAAATCTGCCTACCAGCAAACTACAAGTTTACACCTACCAGTGTAAAAGCAAGTTGCAGTTGTATGGGGGTGTTATGTGGTGGCCCATGTATTGGCCATTAGGGCTGCCCCCCAATCCTGGACTAAACCGTTAATTGATGAGAAGAGTCTTAGTCATCCTACTTTTCATTAGTCGGACACTCGCGGGGAAAAATAACACGTCACACTCCATTTGGGAGCTGCGCCTTGTTACCAGGACTAACGTTTGAGGGGAACGTTGCATAACCAAGAAATATTCAGGCACCAGTTTATATATTAAGCCAAGATAGCTGCTGACTGTAGCCTTGAAATTAACATAAAGATATGAGATAATATCAATCTTCTCATCCAACTCTCAGCAAGGAAGCAAAGTGTTTGTTTCCAAAATGTCAAACTTTTGCTTTAAGAGTGCTAAGATATGAAAAGACGACATAACAAATCTCTAGACAAAGGCGTATGGTGTGGCTTTTAAAGTTACATTTACGTTACTTATAAAAGGTGCCCATTTTTATTTTGCAACAAACTGATCTATTTGATAATATTTTGGCAAGACACGTGTAAAGCATTTATATGACTGCATTACTCAAACACAATTACAATCACAATTCCAATTTCCTGTATTGCATCAACTGAATCAGTAACACAAAGTCACAGTTTTCCAAAAGAAAATAAATGAATCAGTTACTTTAGAAGATGAGTTATGGTATCCAGTTTCACTTTCCAAAGATTCTGAGTGAAAGAAGCTGCAGAGAAAACATTGAAGTCATCTGTACTAACAAAGCTTTACCTGGGCTTGTGTTAGTGAAGCTGAGGTCCGACTCTTGAACACTCGTCCAGGAGCAGGACTACGTTGTCTGGGCTTTGTCTGTGTTTGAGAACCCTTCTCTTCAACCCTCTGTCTACCCATTGGGTCCAACAGGTACCGCTGGGCCAGACGCATCACCCGGGTCAGTACACCTTTTGCCCTAGTAACTGAGTCTGTAGGGGAAAAAAACCCCAAAACAATGAGACAATATCATAAATCCCCCTCCTAATATCTGTGGATTCTGGTTCTCATGCAGCAATTATCCAAAGCTCTCTACTGTGTGTCAAGACTGTATAAAGTAGAAAATGTAATTTAAGGTGATATGAAAATGCAAAAAACTCCATGTTATTATATTCACATTGCCATTTTGCAAACATCCAGGACCTGAGCACCACTTATTTACACAATCCGGGGGACAACCCTGTGATGATACTGTAAGCAGTGCATGTCGGAGTTACAAAATAAGTTATCATTCCATTGCAGACATACCCCTACTGAATTGCCTTTGTGCGTGTATGTGTGTTTTGGTGTGTGAATACGTCCTTGTTATACACAAATGAATGTTATCAGTGGCTCACCATATTTACTCAGGGGGCAGAATCTGCCTGCTTAGGCAAGCTGTGAACATAAATACCCACTTATACAATGTACTATCTGTGTTTGTGTGCAACCAACTCATGCATACAGTCAGAGACACAGAAGCTGTATCTCATGTTTTATAACACAAGGAGAGCATGAGATTAAAACAGTATATGATCATGTTTAATGTGCGTTTTTTTTTTAAAACATTACCATCTTAATATCATGCATCATGTTTATTACAGTATACTATACTATTCTAATATCAAAATTTGATGAATGTAACTCTTTTTATTTATTTGCTCAGTAGTCAACAGGGTTTTTACCTAAAGGTCCTGGGGCCGTGTTTTCCCTGGGGAACATTATAGCAAAATAACACAAGCTCATTACAGTACATTTGCCTCATGCTTTCTGTGTTTCAAAATGATCAGCA